CACACTCACCGGACCTGGGCTAGGACTGGGTTGGGGTTTCCGGAACTCGGCAGAAAATCCTACTCGGCCGGCGGGGTGGGGAGGCCTCTTGCTTTCCTTTTAATTGTGTCATACCTTTCTATTTTTATTTCTTCTTTTGAGTTCTTATACTAGGGACACTATATGATATTTACATATGTGGCTCTGGTTTATTTCACTTACGAGTATATCTTCAAGTGGAATCCACTTAAACATAAAGGCTTTGAGTTTATCATTCTTTATGGCTAATACTCCATTGCATAAAAATACCACATCTTCTTCCTCCATTCCTCAGGTGATGGACATCTTGGTTGTTTCCAAGATTTGGCTATCACAAATCATGCTGCTGTAAATATAGGTGCACATATATCACTATGATATGATGTTTGCAGTTCCTCTGGGAAAATTCTGAGTAGGGGGATAGGTGCTTTGAATGAGATTTCCAGTCCTAGTTTTTTGAGGAGTCTCCACACTGATTTCCATAATGGCTGCACCAGTCTACATTTCCACCAACAGTGGAGGTTTCCTTTTTCTGCACAGCCTCTCCAACATTTGTTGTTGGTTGGATTTTTTTTTTTTTTTGGTTGAACTAGGGATTGAACTCAGGTCCTTGCGCTTGTTAGGCAAGCACTTATTCTACTGAGCTATCTTCCTGGCTCCTGTTGGTTTTTTATGATAGCTATTTGAGAAGAAAGTTTTGAACTAATAGTGTTTAGACAAGGTATCATGTCTGCATCTTGTACTATGAATAACTACTAAAAAGACAACAATATGCAATGTATTAATTATTGTAACTGTCCTACTAACCTGTCTCATTGCTACCTGTTTCTCAATAAAACTAATATACATAAAAAGACTTGCCCATTGGGAGGAAAATAGCATTTAATGTGGAAAACTGTGTGTATTTTGGTATTAAAAACATGTTAGAGACCTTTTTCTTATGCTTAAAACAAAATTCTCATAAAACTTTATAGTCAAAATCCAGAAATACAAAAAAAGACAGAATTTCAAAAGCTATTAGAGAAAAGGAAAAAAATTCTTATAAAGGTAAACCCATTAGGATTACAATAGGCTTTTCAACACAAACTTTAATGTCTAGGAGAGCTTGGAATGAAGTGTTTCAAGTCCTAATGGAGAATAACTCAATAACTTTCAACCTAGACTAATATATGCTGCAAAATGATTTCTCAAAATCAATGGGTAAATAAGAATATTATATGACAAAGAACATCTTAGGAAATCATGACCAGCAAAATAACACTAAAAAACAATAAACCAAACACTCAAGAGTATCCCAAGTGGAGACATGAAGCCAACAAAGCTAAGCATTCTTATGGAATTAATACATCAAGCAGGGTGAGCAGTTCAACAAAAAGGGAAAAATAAAGGAGTCAACAACTGACAAATAATGCAATGACAAGAGTAAGTAAATAGCTTTCAGAAATAACTCTTAACGCAAATGGACTCAGTCAGCAAAATTAGATCAAAACTAAGACTAAATGGCTTACTGCATATAAGAGACTCATCTAACCCAAGAAAGAAATTCATAGACTTAAAAAAAGTCAAGTGTCCTGGGGAGATAGTGCAGTGGCATAAGCTTCTGTCTGACAAGCACAAGGTCCCAAGTTTCATCCCTGGTACTGCAAAACATCCAATCATGAGAAAAGCCTTGAAGAACACAGGGAGAGAAAGAGTGTATCTCAACCTGATAAAGGCCATTTATGATGAACCCACTGCTAACATCATATTAAATAAGAAAACCTGAGAATCATCCCTCGCAAATGGGGAACAAGAAAAAGATTTCTACTCTTACTATTCCTGTTCAATATAATACTCAAAAATTCAGCTAGAGCAATCAGGCAGGAGAAAAAAAAGAGGTAAGCGTAGGAAAGCAACAGGTCAAATCATCATCATTTGTGGATGACATTATATTCTACATAGAGTATCCAAAAAAAAAATTCCAACAAAAGACTTCTAGAAATGAAAACATTAAGAAATGTAGCAGGATACAGAATGAATATACAATAATCAATAGTGAACTTACTGAGAAAGAAATTAGGAAAACAATATTATTCACAATAGTATGAAGAAAAATGAAACACTTAGGAATTAACCTAACCAAGGAAGTGAAAAGTTCTACAATGAAATCTGTAGTGCTCTGAAAAAGGACATTAAAGAGGACATCAGAAAATGAAAAGAAGGCTGGATATGGTAGTGCATACATATAATCCCATATAATCCTAGCATCCAGAAGACTGAGCAGGAGGATCACTGTGATTTCAAGGCCAGCATCAGCCATGTAGTGAGTTTGAGGTCTATCTGAACTACATAGCAAGAGCCTGTATTAGCAAAAGAAAAAAAAAAAAGAAGAAAGACATTCTCTGTTCCTGGATAGACAGAACCCAACACTGTCAAAATCATCAAATTATCAAAAATGCTATATATTTAATATAATCTCAATTAAAATACTAAAAGCATTCCACACAGAACCAGAAAGAATTATCCTAATTTTATTTGTATCCAGAAGAACCTCACAATAGCAAAACAAATTCTGGTCAACAAACTAAAGCAGGAAGCATGCTAACCTGGATTTCAAGTTATAACACAAAGCTACAGTGATAAAAAAAAGCATGGAAGTGTAACTAAAATAGCTATGAGAATCAGTGAAACAGAAAAGAAGATGAAGAAACATCTTCAGGCACATTTAGCCTTCTGACTTTTGACAAAGAGACCACAAACACACACTGGAAAAAAAGCCTCTTTAACAATCAGTGCTGGGAAAACTAGTTATACACATGCAGAAGATTGATTCTAGATCCATATCTATTGGCATATATAAAAATAAAATCAAAATGAATTAAAGACAGATATTAAAACAGAAAAAAACTGCTAGAAGATAAGCTGGGTAAATCTCTTAAAGATACAAGTCACAGGAAAATGTAAACAGAACACCAGTTGCATAAGAAATAACATCAACAATTAACAAATGGGACTCTATCAAATTAAAAAAGCTTTTACATAGCAAAGGAAACAATCAATAGAATGAAAAGACAACCTATTGAGTGGAATAATATTTTTGCTAACTACTCCTCTAATTTCTGAATTTATAAAGAACTGAAAAAAAGCCTCTCAAAATAAAAGAACCAATTAAAAATGGGTACCCGAAATGAACAGACATTTCTCAGAAGTACAAGTGAGCAATAAATACATAGAAAAATGTTCAACATGTATGGCCACCAGAGAAATACAAATTAAAATAATATCCAGATTCTATCTTACTGTAGAAAGAATGGCTATCATTAAGAAAACAAATAATAGCAAATGGTGGAAAGGTTGTGAGGAAAAAAGAAACCTTTTTGTTTTGTTAGTGAAAATGTAAACTGATACAATCCCTTTAGACTTCCGTAGGGAGATTCCTCAAAAAAGAAAAATAGAAATGCCATTCTACATTACTGTTCCCCTTCTTGATAGTATATCACAGGAAAACATACATACCCATGTTTATTGCAGTACAACCTATAATATCTAAACCTTGGAAGCAGATGATCAACAGATGAATGAATAAAGAAAATATGGTATTTACATACAATGGAGTACTACTGCCATAAAGAAGGAAAAATTTGAATCATTTTTAGGAAAGTGAATGCACCTAGAGACCATAATGCTAAATGAAATAAATCATTTTTAAAGTTTGACACAGAAATTTAAATATTGCATAACTTGTTCTACATAAAAACTCAAAATATATAGCCTTGCTAGATAGCTCAGTGATTAAAGTGACTGCTGAGGCAGATGCAGGGGCAGGGGTTTGATCTCTAGCGTGCCATGCCAGCCCCACCCCGGGGGCACACTGAGATGGAGATTGAGACTGGTGGTGTGTGCCTGTAATCCCAGATCTTGGGAGGCTGAAAATAGAAGAATCACTACGAGTCTGATCTGTGTAGTGAGGCCCTACAGGCCCTGTACTAAATACATAAAAAACCCCAAAGTATAAATAATTGAAGAAAAGAGAAAGATACAGTGATAGTTTGGTGCATTAACTCAATTGTCTCCATGATTCTGCCTGTGAATTGAACTGGATAAGAGCCAAATCAATTTTCTCCATAAGGTCAACATTGAAACTAACCCTTGGATTTGATTCTGTTCTCATCTAACTGAGGTTATAGAACTAGTTGATCAATAAGACATGTGTTTCATATGTCTTCTAACCCCTAGTCTGCATGTAGTGCTTAGATGAATAAAAATAAATTACTTACCTGCCTTTGTCAAGTAAACCTTTCCACTTTGGGAAACAAAAGTAACATCTGAAGTATAAAAACAATGATAGGTCTTCTTTATTATATCATCATGAAAGTCAGCTATTAGTCTGAAAGTGTTGCCGCCATCCATTGAAAGCCATATCTAAGGGAATAAAGAGATATCTCCCTGAAGAGCTCTTGTGGACAGTCAGTAATTACTTATCAGTCTAATATTCCTGGAGAGGAAAGGTCACACGGAATGCTCTTTCCCATTTCCCTCACATCCATTAGGCACATGCACATAGACATGTGCAGAGTCCTTGTCTGCTCGCTAGACCCTCTATAGTGTTTACATTCTAGAGTCTGTTTTAGTGTTCATGGCCAAGTGTCAGGTCTGCCCAGTGTGCATGATGCATATATAAAAGAACAAAGTTATTTCCATCATTTCCTAAAATGGAGTTTCATTGTTCATGAAAGGACAGTGCTATGGCTTGTGTTTAGATGTTCCCTCAGAGACTCATGAGGTCATAGGTGAGGCTTTTTCAGATTGGCTGGATCTAAAATGTGTGATTCTGGGACTGATTCACAATGCAATGCCAAGATCAAGAGCACTAGGATTAAGGGTGTGCGTGAACCCACCTTAATGGTCTGGATATGATATAAGGGATAGAAAGAACTGCGGCTCCCTTGTTGCTCTGCTACCTTCTGCCTGCCACGAGCTGTTTCTCTTCTGCAGTGCTTGTCTGCTGTGCCACTTTACCTTGGAGCCAGCTCACTATGGACTGAAACCTCTACAGACTGAACCAGAATAAACTTCTCCTTAAATTGTGGATGTTGGGCATTTTGTTCTGCAGCAAGAGTAGTAATTAAGAAACTCATATAACTAAGGCACTGATAGAAGAGAATTAAACGTGAAGACTAAAGGAGAAAGCAGGGGTTCTAAACAGTGAGCATAAAAACTAAAAAAAGGAAGGAAGCTTTAACCAGACCTAGAAAGACAGTATTTTCTATATGTCTAAATTGTGCAAAGGATACAGACTTCAAATCAAGAAATCATATGAGATTAAAATAAAAAGTTAAAAATTTTTTTTAATGTATTTAGTACAGGGTCTACAGGGTCTCACTACACATATTGGACTTGTAGTGATTGTCCTGTTTTCAGCCTCTCAAGCCCTGGGAGTACAGGCATGTGCCACCATGCCCATTCTCAATCGACCTCTCAGCACGACCGGGGGGTGGGGTCAGCATGGCACATCAGAGATTGAACCCCAGTCCCTGTGTCTGCCTCAGCAGGTGCTTTAATCTCTTGAGCTATCTGGTTGGCCCTAAAAAGTTACTTTTTATTCTAGAACAGAATATATTCGCAAATCACAAGACACAGGCTCAGTTAGAAACCTAGCAAAGGTAAAGAAGAATGTTTGAGAAACGTCACTGAGAAACTTAATTTGTTCTCATTGGAAAACTTTGCAGTGTTTTTTTTTTTTTTCAGTTCAAGAATTAGTGTTTCTTATTTTGTGATCCTTACATTTAAGTTTCCTGATGGCCCAGATGTGCCATAAGGACTCTTTTATCCAGCTTTTAGACTACTGAAACAGAACTGACAGAGAGGCCAGTGGATGGAGGATGGTACCAGTAGGAATTTGAAGAATGGCAAAGTCAGAAAGTCAAGCATGGACAGATATGAACATAATTTAAATAGGTTAGTGGTAAAAATCTAGGTTATTCAGGGTTGAGAAGAAATGTAACTGGCAAAGTTCAGAACTGGTATTGTATGGCTTATTTATTAGGCATTGAATTAACTGAAAAGTTAAAAATTGCCATTGTCTTCCTTCCCACTTATATCTCTCATAAGCAGCTCTTTTTTGTTTGTTTGTTTTGGGCTTTTTTTTTCTGTTATTTTTTTTTTTTATTGGCGGAACCAGAGATTGAACTCAGGCCCTTGTGCTTGCCAGGCAAGCACTTATTCTACTGAGCCATTTCCCCAGCCCTACTTTTTTTCTTTTCTTTTTTTTTTTTTTTTTTTTTTTTTGCGGTACCAGGGATTGAGCTCATGAACCTGCACTTGCCAGGCAAGCACTTATTCTACTGAGCTATCTCCTCAGCCCATTTTTGGCTTTTTGAAACTAGGTCTTGCTACACAGTTCAGGCTGGCCTTGTGCTAACTTTATAGCTCAGGCTGGTCTCCAACTTGCAGTGATCTTCCTGCCTCAGCACCTGGTGTGCTGGGATTACAGGTTTGTTGCCAAACCCAGAGAGCAGCTGTTTTTTATGTGCAACCAATCAGTGTCTAATACCCCTTACCAGAGAGAGGGTGAAGTTTCATGTGTACACACCTGATTTCCATAAGCATATAGAAAGTGGCTTTGGGGGTGGAACACCATGCCCATAGGGTGAGAGAAGGAGGAAGGAAAGTGGAACGGTGGGAATTTTGGTGTGGCACTTGGTTGGTTATTTTTTAAGATGTTCACAGAGGCACTGGCTGTTTTCTTGTGCTAGATAAACAAAGCATAAAGAAGTCATAAGAATTTTTCATACTAGTCCATGATACTACTTTTAGACTTTCTTGTTACTTGGGTTTCGGTTAAGATAGAGACTCACTTATTAACACAGCATGGAACTGGGAGGACTGCCCGCCACTGGCATCTCTTTACTCCTTTGCCCCAACCGCCACCCATTTTATAAACATTGAAGCTTAGGAGACTAAATGATTTTTTCCAAAATTCTATAATAAATGGCAGAGAGATTTACTATAGAGTTTTTACTGAACTCAGCAGCAGATTCTAATGTTCATGCTCTTCACTACTGTGCCATAAGTGTGTAGGCCTCAGCCACATGCCAGTTTTCTCATGAAGGATAAAAATATAACATCCCTGAATATGCCACTTGGAATAAAGATAATTTTAAAGCTGATGACTTTTGAGATTCAGCTGATGCAGGAAATGTTTTCATCTGCCTAAAAGCAGTAACTTCTGGGAGGAGATTTTAGCTCAGATTTCTCTTCAGTGCAGGTCTGCTCCCAGAAAAGCCAGTGAAGTTAAAGCTACCTTAAATCCCTTTTCCAGGGAAGCATTATGGTCCTGCGGAAGGATACTGTACCTGTTTGAACAGACATTACCACCTTCTTTATAAGGACCTTAGGAATAGAAAATATAGTTCATTGTAACTAGGATTGGATTTATGGAACCTTAAATTTATATGACAAAGATTCAATTTATATTCTCCTGGAGATCTATTAGTAAAGAACAATCATTGAACAATCAGCATTATGCTTGCCACTTTCATAAAACTTAATGACTATCTGAGGTGACATCCTTTAAATGGCCAACTTACATTGTTAATCACAATTTGGCTGCAGCCAACTTTGTCAGGTTCCATTGATAAAGATGACAGGAATTTTGAAATAGCTTTAGCTAAGGTAAATTTACATTGTTAGGAAGTAAGCAGTAATAAGCTTTGGATGATACCACCTACCTGGTCATAGAAAAGGTAAATTCCTGTATCATGTTCTTGATCAACAAGAAATGTTACTTCACTTGGATATACATCTTTTGAATCATTGACAACATGAGGTAAGCAAGGTAACCATTCAAGAAATGGTTCTTTACTATAAAAACAAGAGCTTGCCTAGAAAAAGAGAAATGGAAAGTTAATGTTGTTTTGAAAAATAAGGCCTCATTAGTTATTGCTGGAAAAAAACCCCAATGAACTATTGTGTTGTCCTTACTGAGTACAAATCATGTTTTGAATCTTTAACATCTGTGCTTCTCTTTTGGATGACAGGAGCCTAGAAAACACTAATCATCTCTGATTTTTCTAGAGATGTGGTATGGATGATTTGTTTAGAGTCACTGACTAGGTCTAGATTGACATAATTGGGTAGCTGCTATTAAACCTACACAGAGAAACCACTGAGAGCTAAGGGTGATTGTTAAGTCTTTCAGCATGTAGAATTTCCATTTTATATTAATAACAGTCCATGAAACTGTGGATAACAAGATATTTTACCTTTTAATAATAGTATTAATAATATTCAATGTTAATATTCATTATCATACCTCACTTAGGGTCTTGTTTCTGTCAAAGGTGATAGTAACATAATCAACTATAAAATAAAGATAGAAGAATTATAAATGGCATTAATATTTTTAAAGCCAGAAAGTAGTTAGTGTTAATAAAATAGTCTCCACAATATGATAGATGCTACATATTATCACTTAATGTATACACAAATACACTCTTCTTGAACTTATACAGGTATGTCTATTGTCTCAAACTTAGATTAGATTTTTCTCAGTCTAGATCATTAATTTATATGAAACTTATCTTTACATTTTATTCTACCTTATTCTCTACCATTTATTTGAATATATATATATATATATATATACATACATGTTTTTGATAAAGGCCTGTTAATGTATCTTTCACTAAAATTTACCTTCAAAATGTTCTCTGTTAGCAAAACATCTTTTGTTAGACCATAATTTTCCTTTGATATAGTCAATCTACACAAAGAAATAAATATATTACTTGGGTAATATGTACACAGAACAGAGCAGAAAAAAGCTTATTAAAAATTTCAATGTGTCATACTGCTGAGAAGTGAGGCAAATAAATAAAGAAAAATTGTATACAAATAAAAAAGGTTATTATTGAATGAGGACAAGAAAGTGCAATATACATTTTGAATAATACACAAAAAGGAATACAAAGAGAAGAAATTGCATGTGAATTAGCATATGTTAATTGAAGATGCCTTTATGAGTGAACTGTCTTTCTGAAGCTACCAAAAGCCTGTGGCCTTTAATTACAGTAGTTACTGTCGGTCACATGTTTATCTTTCATTCCTCATTAGTTGCAGCTGGGCTTTGGGAGGCTTCATAAGAGCCTAACTGTAGGAAATAGAAACAAGTAAAAGGTATTATAAGTTGAGTTTAAGAGAAGCTTCAGAGACCCAGTCCTAGCCCAGGTCCCGTGAGTGTGTGGAGAGCTTCCTGCTACCCTGCGCCGGCGGGACCAGTCCCAGCCCAGGCGCAGCGTGGGCCG